CTGCTCAGTTACTGTAGGATGAGAAAATTAAGAGTGTAAAGAAGAAGAGAGAAATGGTATAGTGTGTGGTGTTGGCTACTGAATGCAGGGGAACAGCTATGTTGGGGAGTTCTCTGAGGTGTGTTTCTCTGTAAATGAGGGCCTTCTATGTGGACTAGAAATCTGAGTCCCCACAGTCACGCACTGCATTCCCTGAGTATTGTGAGACATACCCTCATTGCTGGTTAGAACTGGGAGGTTTCTGCCTTTCTCCAGAATATTCAACAATAATTTGAGAGAACAGTTGAGTTCTTCTCAGAGTTTGGTGAAAAGTGTGTGTTCCATAGGCTGTATACGCTGACTTCACAGAAGGCCCCTTGGCTCCACTGTGGGATGAGTCTGGTGCTTCCTGGGAGGGATGTTGAGTGCTTTGCTAGTGTTTTTCTCTTTACCTCTTGGAGGGAGCAGAGTGGTAGAGGTAAGTGGAAGATATTTTACATGTTTGTGGGTCACAGGAACCAAATGAGAAAACCTATAGACTTTACGTAAGGCATCAAATGGCCTGTGCATTTCCAGAAGCACTGGCTTCCTGCACTGGTGCTGTGTCCCCTGGGGCAAGATGGTGGTGTGGGTGATTGTTGGAGCACTGCTTGCTTTTACCCTTCTGCATGTTCCAACGCAAGGGTATTTCTGTGCATCAGTGCCTCTGGCATGCCCCATGGTCAAGCTCTGTAGGAGCCACCAGGTATAAGTCCAAGTATGTTTTAGTTTTGTCGATCCTATGTTTGAGAAAGAGTGTCTTGGCTCGATGGGCAGGTCTTTTGGGGATTTAGGCCATCATTCTTGCGCCTATCAAGAATGCTAAACATCGCCTCTGTCTTCCCCGGCTCCATCACACGGAGAGCGTGTCCTTCTGAAGTGCTCTCCTCAGCTATTCCTAACTTCTCAGTCCAGTTTACACCAAGGGCAGTCACTGCCCTTCACACCCAGCATGCACCACAGGATGGTGTGGATGTCCCAGTGGCCCTCAAGAAGCACTCATCTTGAAGTCCTTGCTGGGAGCAGAGTCATCACTGGGGTTAGGACAGGCAGGGAAGGGACAGCGGGCATGCACATGTGACCCGTCTCTAGCGCTCCACTTTCTCACACGGTGGTGTGCAAAGTGCTCTGTGACAGGGGCAAGGCCACTTACTGTCTCTTTTTCAGTTTTGTTGATGGTCAAGTGGTTGTTCGTGAGGTTTTTGTTTGGTTGCTTTGTTTCGTTTGGCATGGGGTTTGAATTCACGGCCTGGGTGCTGTCCCAGAGCTCTCTTTTGCTCAAAGCCATCACTCTCATCACTTTGAGCCATAGTACCACTTCCAGTTTTCTGGAGGTTAATTGGAGATAAGAATCTCATGGGCTTTCCTGTCCGGAGGCTTTGAACCATGATCCTCAGATCTCAGCCTCCTGAGTAGAGGATGACAGGTGTGAGATACCAGTGCCCAGCTTCAGTTTGTGTTATAAGAGAGAAATGGTGGTGCCAGCCCTGTGGGGGTGCAGCTAGGCCTCAGAGTACAGCGTGCTCACTGCCATACACTCCTGGCGTGCGTTTCCTTCAGCCAGAGCTGGAGAGATCAACACGCCACAGATGGGACCTTGAAGCTGTGCTCTGTAGAGCAGAAAATACCAGTTCCCCATTTCCAAGGATGAGGAAGCTGTATGATGGGCCTGTGGTTGTGTGTTCTGGCCTTGGTGAAATTGTTCACTCTCTGGCCTCATTGTGGCTAGTAGACGAGGGACCTGGACAGTGGGATCTTTGGACTGGGGGTCCTTGTCATGTAAAAAAGGAGAACACAGGCTGACTCTCCATTCTGGGCTCAAGGGGACACCACAGGCTCACACATCCTGCATGGGAGAAGAGGGACAGCATCCTCCCTGCCCCAGTGGCCAGGCAGCATGCAGCCCATCCACAGGACACACCCTCTGGAGTCTTCCTCCAGTGGAGTCCTGAAGCTGCACTCCCAGAGGAGAGCTCCAGTCTGTCCATGTCTCCTGGCTGGTGCCAACTCGAGTTTGTGTCCTATCTGCTGTGACTACCAGCTCCATTTGAAGCCCTTTGTCACAGCAGCAAGCACATCTCCCCCCAGCACCATCCCTTGCTTCAAAGGTTCTTGTCACAGTTGGAATAAAATCCAGACTCTTTGCCTTGCCTTCAAAAACCAGTGGGACTCAGTGGCAAAGTGCTCCAACCACTGGCTGCTCTGGTGCCAGGCTTCCTCCCGCTGGGCTTGTGCATGTTCACATCCCTGTGCAAGAAGCACTCTGCCTGCCCAGCTCACACAGTAGGCTCCAGCTCATCTTCTGAGTCTCAATTTCAAGGTCATTTCCTCAGAGATGCCCTCCATTTTCTAGTCCCTGTCTAAATGAAAGTCCTCTCCTCCTTCTGCAGCATTGCTGGACACTCAAGAAGTCAAGGTCCTTTGGAGGCTCATGGTCCAGACCAGAGCAGAGGGCCTGACGAAATAGTCTATAAAGCTCCAAATGCTAGAACTAGCTTTCTTTCCCATTCTCCCTGCTGAAGGGACAGCAGCTTCCCCTCATCCCCAGCTGTTGGGCTTTGATCTCAGGGCCTTGTGCTTGCCAGGCACTCACTGTACCACGGAGCCCCACACCCAGCCTTTTTCTGCTTTATTTTTCTGGTACAGTATTATGTTTTTCCTGGTACCAGCCTTGGACCAAGATCTCCTACCTGTGGTTTCTCATCTGTTTGGGATTATAGGTTTGTATTACCATGCCTGTCAACTTATTTGTTGACATGTTTCACTACCTTTTTGTTCAGCTGGCCTCAAACTGTGATCCTCCCAATCCCTGGCCTCCCAGGTAACTAGTGTGAGGCATTTCAGCCAAGCCAGGGACAGTATGTGTATGTGTGTACGTATGTGTGTGTGTAAAGTGGGGTTTGAATTCACAGCCTTACACACTTGGCTTTTTCACTCAATGCTGACACTCTACTACTTGAGCCACGCTCCACTTAAAGGGACAGCATTTAAGAAGTAACTCTACAGGGTTTTTTTTTGGGGGGGGAGTCCGGTCGTGGGGCCTGAACTCTGGGTCTGGGCACTGTCCCTCAACTCTTCAGCTCAAGGCTAGCACTCTACTACTTGAGCCACAGTGCCACTTCCGGCTTTTTTCTTTTTGCTTATGTGGTGCTGAGGAATCGAACCCATGCAAGACAAGCGCTCTACCACTGAGCCACCTTCCCAGCCCGAACAGGTGGTTTTCTATACAGATTTCAAATGTTTCAAATGCCTTGAGCTTGTGGGTGGGGTTAGCTGAGATTTGAATATGGTTACAGTAACTATTTGAACTTTGTCTTTGATTATTAAATATGTCATCATGGAAATGTAGAAGAAAATAAGGAAAATTTAAAAGAAAAACAAAAAATGGATAATCTTACCCAAAGATAACTCTCCCTATTACATTTTGGTAGCTGTCCTACTTTTTTTTTAACACATGTAAAAGATTTTAATGAAATTAGGACATATATCCTATAGTTTTGAGCATCTAGTCCTTCTAGCAGTTTTGTATCATAAGTATATTCCTATATTATTTTAAAATTTTAGGTGTGTGTGTGTGTTATACTGGGTATTAAACTCGGATTCTCACGCTTGCTAGGAAAGTGCCCTACAACTTGAGCTATAAAGCCACCAAGCATCCTTTTTGGTTTTGTCTTTGTTTTTTTCAGGCCTGGGCACTTGAGGGTTTTTGTTGTTGTTGTTCGTTTTTGTTTTTTATCAAGGCTAGTGTTTGACCACTTAAGTGAGCCATAGGTCCACTTCAGGCTTTGTTGGTGGTTGGTTGGAGATAAGGGTCTCACGAACTTTTCTACCCAGGCTGGCTATGAACTGAGATCTTTAGATTTCAGCCTCCTGAATAGGTAGGTAGGATTTCAGGTGTGTGTCACCAGCACTTGGTTTTATTTTGTTTTTAAGAAAGAATCCCAATAATTTTCTGTGTATGTGTCCATCCTGGGGTTTGAACTCAAGGCCTGGATGATGTCCTTGAGCTTTTGTGCTCAAGGCTAGTGTTCTACCACTTGAGCCACAACTTTAACTTTACTTCATCCTTTTGGTAGTTAATTGGAGATGAAAGTCTCGTGGACTTCCCTGCCTAGGCTGGCTTTGAACCACAGACCTTAGATTGCAGTAGCTAGGATTTCAGGCATGAGCCACCAGCACCCAGCTCAATAATTTTTGTGGTTTTGTTTGTTTGTTTGTTTTTTGTCAGTTGTGGGGCCTGAACTCTGGGCCTGGGCGCTGTTCCTCACCTCTTCAACTCAAGGCTAGTGCTCTACCACTTGAGCCACAGCACTGCTTCCAGCTTTTTTTGCTTATGTGGTGCTAAGGAATCGCGAACCCAGGGCTTCATGCATACGAGGCAAGCACTCTACCACTGAGCCACCTTCCCAGCCCCACTTTTGTTAATTTTTAAGAAATGCTTTTGGTAGTGCTGGGGCTCGAACTTAGAACCTCACATTTCCTTGGCTAGACTGGTGCTAGATTGGTGTTCTACCATTGGAGCTATGCCTCTAACCCTGCTTTTTTGCTGATTATTTTTGAGACAGAACCTGGTAAGCTTTTAAGTCATTCTGTCAAGTAAAGTTATCATGGTTTATTTGGAGTGTTGCTTATGTGTTCCTGTTTAAAGTCACAGCATTGTCATACTTTGATCCAGCTGTGCCAGTGTGCCCAGGTTCCATATAACTGTCTCCTTCTGTCTTACAGATTGTTTGCTGCATGAAGAGAACTTCTCGGTGAGGTGCCCCAAGCACAAGGTGAGTCACGGGCCCCAGTAGCCTTTGCTTCCAGTGGGGCTGTCTCCTCCTGAGAAACCTAAAGGCCAGGCTTGGAGGACCTTACCCAGGCCTGTCCCACCTACACTTCTGGCACTGAGAGCATGGAGAGGCATTGTGCTGAAGGGATCCTCAAAGAATGGAGCCAAGTACCCTTGGGGTATGAAGGAGCCCGGAGGGTTATGGTATTTTGGAGAGCATTATCAGTTCATTAAAAGAAATTAGAAGATCAGTGGAACTACTGATTTCTACTTTAATTTAGTAGACACCCAGTCCACAGGTTGATAATATGGTGAGCTGTGCAGAATTTCCCAGAATAGAGAACAGAGCCATTTCCTTTCTCTCCCAGAGTATGTGCAGCAGAAACACCCTGACAAAGCAGGTAGTCTCTCCAAGAACGGGTCTCTTGGTCACCTCTTTTAGGAAGACAAGGAGACCAACATTCTGTTTCTGAGCTGACATTGATTGGGGGGGGAGAGGGGATGGGTTAAAGAGCCACAAGGATTGGGATGAAGCTGCAAGCTGTGGCTCCCTGCCTGGCTGAGGTCACACTGACACCTTGTGGTCACTGGAACTCACAGTCTCATTCTCCAGTTAGAGCCAGAAAATACTAGAAAGAACCGTCTGTCCTTAAAAAGCTCCTGAAAGACGCCTATGCTTTTCTTTCCAAATCATTTCCAGAACTAGACCAGGATCTGACAAAATTTTCTTTGCTTTTGTGTATGGTCAGAAAGCCCGTCTGGGTGTCTCCTGTTTGTCATTCAGTACTGACTCTGCTTTTTCTTTCCTTTTCCATGCACCATTCCCGTCCTCACCTCTTCCCCCACCTTTCCCACACTGTCTGTCTTCTGTCCCTCTGTCCATCTCTTGGTTTTGCTGGCATCAGCCTCCCCTTCCATGCCCTCTCCCCCCCTTGCAGAACAAGAACGCAAAAGGCAGCCTCAGCACAGAGCAGTCGGAGCGGGGGTGAGGGGGGCAGTGCGCGCGTGGGAATGGAGAGGACAGCAAGCACAGGTGAGTTGGGGCTGGCCTGGCTCCCACCACTCCCACCCAGCTCTCAGCAAGTGTCATGGCCTCTGGCCTCCTGCTTGCCCACGCCACACCACCAGTGTTGAATCCTGTGAACTGTCGGCATCAAGTGGAGAAAATAGCTTTCTGTTATCCAGCTCCCCAGAATAGCTGTGATGAGGCCTATAAAATTGTTCACTATCATTGCTCCTGAAGGCAGTATGACAGCGTGACAGCGCTAGGACGATCCTGTGGGTGGGGATCCTCTGGCAGCAGTCCACCCTTTTCTCTGTTCCAGAGAGGGACCAAGTCAGAGGTCTCTCTCTTTTTTTGGTCAGTGGTGGGGCTTGGGCTTTGTCCCTCAGCTCTTCGGCCTAAGGCTACCACTTGAGCCACAGTACCACTGGAAGTTTTCTGGTGACTTATTGGAGATAAGAGTTTCGTGGACTTCTCCTGCTCAGGCTGGCTTTGAACCGCCATCCTCAGATCCCAGCCTCCTGAGTAGCTAGGATTACAGGCATGAGCCACTGATCCCCAGCTCAGAGGTCTCTTCTTTTTAATTGACTACATTCTTCTTTTTAATTGACTATATTTCTGTAAAACTTAGAGAGGGGGGATTGTTAGTTTTGTTATTTGGAAAAAAGAAAATTCAAGGTTTATTACTTGAAATACACTCCACTCCTTTTCAAAGGGGAAAAAATTTTCAGAAAGACTTTAAATCTCAAGCAGTTGTGCTGTGCTGTGGTTGCACGTTGGGTGGGAATGTGGCAAGGCTGTCCCTGCATGCACCTCTAGAGAACAGAATTACAAGTTTCGGGCTTCTGGAAGTATGATCTCCATTGTCCTGAGCTTGCTGCTGCTCCCCCCCCCCCCCCCCCCCCCCCCCCCCCCCCCCCCGCTGCCCTGCTCAGTTACTGTAGGATGAGAAAATTAAGAGTGTAAAGAAGAAGAGAGAAATGGTATAGTGTGTGGTGTTGGCTACTGAATGCAGGGGAACAGCTATGTTGGGGAGTTCTCTGAGGTGTGTTTCTCTGTAAATGAGGGCCTTCTATGTGGACTAGAAATCTGAGTCCCCACAGTCACGCACTGCATTCCCTGAGTATTGTGAGACATACCCTCATTGCTGGTTAGAACTGGGAGGTTTCTGCCTTTCTCCAGAATATTCAACAATAATTTGAGAGAACAGTTGAGTTCTTCTCAGAGTTTGGTGAAAAGTGTGTGTTCCATAGGCTGTATACGCTGACTTCACAGAAGGCCCCTTGGCTCCACTGTGGGATGAGTCTGGTGCTTCCTGGGAGGGATGTTGAGTGCTTTGCTAGTGTTTTTCTCTTTACCTCTTGGAGGGAGCAGAGTGGTAGAGGTAAGTGGAAGATATTTTACATGTTTGTGGGTCACAGGAACCAAATGAGAAAACCTATAGACTTTACGTAAGGCATCAAATGGCCTGTGCATTTCCAGAAGCACTGGCTTCCTGCACTGGTGCTGTGTCCCCTGGGGCAAGATGGTGGTGTGGGTGATTGTTGGAGCACTGCTTGCTTTTACCCTTCTGCATGTTCCAACGCAAGGGTATTTCTGTGCATCAGTGCCTCTGGCATGCCCCATGGTCAAGCTCTGTAGGAGCCACCAGGTATAAGTCCAAGTATGTTTTAGTTTTGTCGATCCTATGTTTGAGAAAGAGTGTCTTGGCTCGATGGGCAGGTCTTTTGGGGATTTAGGCCATCATTCTTGCGCCTATCAAGAATGCTAAACATCGCCTCTGTCTTCCCCGGCTCCATCACACGGAGAGCGTGTCCTTCTGAAGTGCTCTCCTCAGCTATTCCTAACTTCTCAGTCCAGTTTACACCAAGGGCAGTCACTGCCCTTCACACCCAGCATGCACCACAGGATGGTGTGGATGTCCCAGTGGCCCTCAAGAAGCACTCATCTTGAAGTCCTTGCTGGGAGCAGAGTCATCACTGGGGTTAGGACAGGCAGGGAAGGGACAGCGGGCATGCACATGTGACCCGTCTCTAGCGCTCCACTTTCTCACACGGTGGTGTGCAAAGTGCTCTGTGACAGGGGCAAGGCCACTTACTGTCTCTTTTTCAGTTTTGTTGATGGTCAAGTGGTTGTTCGTGAGGTTTTTGTTTGGTTGCTTTGTTTCGTTTGGCATGGGGTTTGAATTCACGGCCTGGGTGCTGTCCCAGAGCTCTCTTTTGCTCAAAGCCATCACTCTCATCACTTTGAGCCATAGTACCACTTCCAGTTTTCTGGAGGTTAATTGGAGATAAGAATCTCATGGGCTTTCCTGTCCGGAGGCTTTGAACCATGATCCTCAGATCTCAGCCTCCTGAGTAGAGGATGACAGGTGTGAGATACCAGTGCCCAGCTTCAGTTTGTGTTATAAGAGAGAAATGGTGGTGCCAGCCCTGTGGGGGTGCAGCTAGGCCTCAGAGTACAGCGTGCTCACTGCCATACACTCCTGGCGTGCGTTTCCTTCAGCCAGAGCTGGAGAGATCAACACGCCACAGATGGGACCTTGAAGCTGTGCTCTGTAGAGCAGAAAATACCAGTTCCCCATTTCCAAGGATGAGGAAGCTGTATGATGGGCCTGTGGTTGTGTGTTCTGGCCTTGGTGAAATTGTTCACTCTCTGGCCTCATTGTGGCTAGTAGACGAGGGACCTGGACAGTGGGATCTTTGGACTGGGGGTCCTTGTCATGTAAAAAAGGAGAACACAGGCTGACTCTCCATTCTGGGCTCAAGGGGACACCACAGGCTCACACATCCTGCATGGGAGAAGAGGGACAGCATCCTCCCTGCCCCAGTGGCCAGGCAGCATGCAGCCCATCCACAGGACACACCCTCTGGAGTCTTCCTCCAGTGGAGTCCTGAAGCTGCACTCCCAGAGGAGAGCTCCAGTCTGTCCATGTCTCCTGGCTGGTGCCAACTCGAGTTTGTGTCCTATCTGCTGTGACTACCAGCTCCATTTGAAGCCCTTTGTCACAGCAGCAAGCACATCTCCCCCCAGCACCATCCCTTGCTTCAAAGGTTCTTGTCACAGTTGGAATAAAATCCAGACTCTTTGCCTTGCCTTCAAAAACCAGTGGGACTCAGTGGCAAAGTGCTCCAACCACTGGCTGCTCTGGTGCCAGGCTTCCTCCCGCTGGGCTTGTGCATGTTCACATCCCTGTGCAAGAAGCACTCTGCCTGCCCAGCTCACACAGTAGGCTCCAGCTCATCTTCTGAGTCTCAATTTCAAGGTCATTTCCTCAGAGATGCCCTCCATTTTCTAGTCCCTGTCTAAATGAAAGTCCTCTCCTCCTTCTGCAGCATTGCTGGACACTCAAGAAGTCAAGGTCCTTTGGAGGCTCATGGTCCAGACCAGAGCAGAGGGCCTGACGAAATAGTCTATAAAGCTCCAAATGCTAGAACTAGCTTTCTTTCCCATTCTCCCTGCTGAAGGGACAGCAGCTTCCCCTCATCCCCAGCTGTTGGGCTTTGATCTCAGGGCCTTGTGCTTGCCAGGCACTCACTGTACCACGGAGCCCCACACCCAGCCTTTTTCTGCTTTATTTTTCTGGTACAGTATTATGTTTTTCCTGGTACCAGCCTTGGACCAAGATCTCCTACCTGTGGTTTCTCATCTGTTTGGGATTATAGGTTTGTATTACCATGCCTGTCAACTTATTTGTTGACATGTTTCACTACCTTTTTGTTCAGCTGGCCTCAAACTGTGATCCTCCCAATCCCTGGCCTCCCAGGTAACTAGTGTGAGGCATTTCAGCCAAGCCAGGGACAGTATGTGTATGTGTGTACGTATGTGTGTGTGTAAAGTGGGGTTTGAATTCACAGCCTTACACACTTGGCTTTTTCACTCAATGCTGACACTCTACTACTTGAGCCACGCTCCACTTAAAGGGACAGCATTTAAGAAGTAACTCTACAGGGTTTTTTTTTGGGGGGGGAGTCCGGTCGTGGGGCCTGAACTCTGGGTCTGGGCACTGTCCCTCAACTCTTCAGCTCAAGGCTAGCACTCTACTACTTGAGCCACAGTGCCACTTCCGGCTTTTTTTTTTCTGCTTATGTGGTGCTAAGGAATCGAACTCAGGGCCTCATGCATGTAAGGCAAGCGCTCTTCCACTGAGCCACCTTCCCAGCCCAACTCTACAGATATTACGGGTCCCATCACAATTAGGATACCACTGTGTGTTTGGGTCAGTGTACTCAGTGGAAAGCTCTCTGTTGGGAAAGCTGGACTGTGGAGCCCAAGACAAGATGCTGGAGAGTTGCCAATACCTGTGTTACCATACAGCTCTGTGCCACCAAAGGAGCCAGGTTATCTAGAACCAACTGGCCAAGCAGACAGCCCCATTTTGAAGTTGGGAGCTACCCTTCTGAGTAGTAGTATGGGATGGTGGTCTAAGCCTGAGCTGAGCACTGTCCTGCCCTTCCTCTACAAGCATACCTTTAAAAGGGGGCTATGGCATCTGACCTCAGATCACTCCCCCTGCTCATTCCTAGAAGCACCCATTAGCTCTGCCCTTGTGATTTCCCAAGTGCCTGTGGTTCCTGGAAAGGGCATCAGAGAACCCTTTCTCCGTGTCCTTTGGCTGAGGCAGAGGAGAATCTCCCTGGGATGGTGGGAGCAGTCCCATGCAGAGAGGAGGAGTCCGGAGCACATTTACGAGGGAAGCCATGCTGTTGTGGGTGCATGCTGAGATTGACAGGATGGCTCGGTTGCTGGCCCATAGGCCCAGGGCCTTGCAATTTAAAGTACTAGGGTTTATTTTTAACTCCAGGGTGTTGGCTGGACTGTCATCTCTGCAAAGTGTCTTCCTGCTTATTGGTATTTTCTGTCAAGCAGAAGTCTCCTTTTTGGCAGGGGTGAATATATTATATATGTGCGCTTGTGAATTCTTAGCTCCTGCACACACACAGCCTGCTTAACAGTTTGCACATTAGTAAGCTTTATTGGGGCAGGAGTGGGAGAGTGAGTCTGCCATTTCCTGAGGCTTATTTGTTGGTAGAGGGCACCAGAAAGGATTTAAGGAAGAAGAAAGGGGTGTCGTAGGGACACAAGTCATAGTTCTGATTGGCTTCCGGATGGGAAGACCACCATCAATATCCACTTCTGGTGTGCTTTTTCTGGACTAACTTCTTGGAATCTTTGGTGTTTACTGAGACATTTGTACATGAGATGGGTCGTGAAGCATTCTGAGATGGCCTTGGTATACCTGTCTTCTGCGTGGGTCATTGGGCCCAAGTTTGGGCCCATATGTTAAGGTCCATCTATCCCTGCAAAGCCAGGAAGAATGACACCTCCAGCTCTGTGCGGTGCAAAAATCAGGCTGTGGCCTGCCCACCCTGTCAGGCCAGGTCTCTGGGAAGAGTGCTTTGATACAGTTATGAGAAGGTTCTTCCACAGATTGTCTGGACACTCTAGGTTCAGTCACAGCTGAGTTGTCTTCGGCCACCTCTGTGAAAACTGCCACCAGTGGCTGAGTCACCATCCCTGAAGTTCAAGGAATTTTCTCCTGCCTTTGTTTCTTCTATGCAGAGAAGGTGACCTGTCAGGAGAGGCCTCAAAGTCTGATTCCACACCTACCTTCTTAGATCACCTCTGTCTTCCACCTTGCTTCAAGTTCAAAGCAATTCAGCCTCACACCCACAAAGGGGTCTGAGCATGAAGTCCCTGCCAAAGGCCATTTGCCAGCGCCACTGAAAAGGGACTGTGGCTGGCGGGATCAGGTACCAGCCCCCACACTCAGTGTCTGCTGCTTGTCTTCCAGGTGAGACTGTGGAGATGAGAAGGTGGTGGACACTCGTAAGGGAATGGAATTGTCCTGCCGTGCAGCCACACCCCACCCTGCCCCGCCCCACCGCGCCTGCCCATGCCAGCACTTCCTTCCTGTGTTCTCACATCACACTCAACTGGTGACACCACAGGAAAGAAAGACACAAGATGTTGGAATGGCTATTTCCATGGACACAATCTCCATAGTGACAATGTGGGGGGAGGGGGGAGGGGTGGGCTCATGGGAAAAGGGGGGGGATAAAGGGAGGGATAAAAATATATATATATAAATCTATTTTTAGTCTGGAAAGACTTTGTTTAAATGAAAGGTGCGCTATCCCTTTTGATTCTATTTTAAAATTATCTAGTTAAAGGACTCCAAATTTGTTCCCATGACAGTGAAATTTAAATGTGAATTGAACTGAACAAGCTCTCATCTCATAAAGGATGGGGTGTGGCTTTGATCTTTAGCCTGTCTCACACCAAGTCAGAGAACACTAGACCCAGGACTAAAAGAGCAGACAGACCACAACTGGGCCTTCATCTTGTCACAAGGGAAGGTTCTGGGGGGGGGGGGAGGGAAAGGGGATTTCAAGAGTGGAGGAATGATGTTTAAACACAAAAGTAATTTTTTTTCTTTGCCAGAAACACTACTTATTTATTCTTTTTTAAAGTTTTATCTTTTTGGGGGGTAAAATTGGCAGATGCCCCAAGGTCGTGGCTGAGCCCTGGGTAACTGTGGCTGGTGAGATCCCTGAGAGCCCCTGTCTGGGGCCCTCTGTCCTTGGTACATTCCAGGCAGCTGCTCCCAGGCTCATGGGGACCCAAGGAGGCCTAGGCAGTCCTGCCCGAGAGTAGGCAGGGGCTGGGAACGAATGTGTGTGTGAACCAGGTGGGTGGGTTAAGCTGACCAGAAAACACCCACTTAGCTGTTATTTTCTTTTTGCTTTCATTTTTATAATGGGAAAGGGGGGCTGTTAAGTGTCAGCTCCATGCTATATGATTATGTTGTTTTGTTTTGTTTTGTAAATTGTATAATTTTTAAATATCTAAGTTTTAAAAAAATGAAAAAAAGTACAAAAAAATCTTGTTAAGGCCTTAAGAAGGGGTTAGTGCATCTTTCAGGGGTCACTCTGCCGTGGGGATAAAATAGCTGTTTCACAAACAGTTTTATTTAAAAAAACAAAAAACAAAAAAATCAAAAAATAATAAACTTCATTTTAACCTTGTTTCCTCTATTATTTACTATGAAGTGGATGTGTCTCTTCCTTCCCTCACATCAGCCGCCATTAGGGTTCCTCAGCTGCTCTCAAGGAGAACCCAGCAGCCCTAGTCCCCTCCACCCCAGCCTCAGAGAAGGCCAACAGATCTCGGCTGCCCATGCAGACACTGGGATTTATCCAAATATGAGGACATATTTTTGAATCGACATGATTTTAAAGATTATAAAAGTATAATGCAATGTTAATGGACTTTTGGGGAGAACAAATATCAGAGAAATGTGAGGTGGAAATAAGCTCTTGTGTGCTCATCAATTTGGGTTGCAGAAATGGCAGATTAATTTCAGCCTAATGGCTACATCAAGCCGTGCAGTCCATTTCTCATTTCTTTGCCAGGATGGGGGCGTGGGTGGGTGTGCTGCGCCAGCCGTGGGACTATGTACAGGCAGCTACGGCAAGACCTGCATAGAAATGATTCTTGAGCAGGTTGGCTTCCATTCTAGTCTTGACTTGGATTAACACAGGTAGAATGAAATTAATCGATTTCAGATGTCAAGGACTAAATCACAAAACTTGAAAAATATGTATCTTGAAAATTTTTCCTGCTGGCTGATGTTTGGCACTTTGCCTTTAACTCTTTTGTTCCTTTGAAGTTGCTGATGGTGCCTCAAGGTGTAGCACTCATTATTTCTGGCGTTATTTCTGGTGCCTTTAAATTGGCTTCAGAAATGACCTTGAGCTGAGACATGACCCTGTTTACCACTTGCCTAGAGTCCAGCTGTAACCTCTGGCACCTCAACTTGTGAAGCCCAGCATATGTTGTAAAAGATCATGTGTGTATGTATATAGGTATGCATGTGTGTGCGTATGTACATGCATGAGTAGGCGCTCACATACGTATGTGTGCATATGTACTAGTCCTGAACTTGAGCTCAGGGCTGGAAGCGATCCTTTAGCTTTTTTTTTTTTTTTTTTTTGCCCAAGGCTGGCACTGTACCACTTAAGCCACATCCCCATTTCTGGCTTTTTGGAGGTTAATTGGAGATAAGGGTCTCACCGACTTTCCTGTCTGGGTTAGCTCTGAACCACAGTCATCATATCTCAACCTCCTGAGTAGCTAGGATTACAGGCTGGAGCCACCAGCAGTTTCAGGTCCACAGCAGTATACTGGGCAGAAGATATTCCCACATGCCCACTCCCCACACAGGTACAATCTCCCGCACTGATGAACCCATATCATGCCACGTGGGCAACCATCAAGCCTGCAGCTCACATCACGTTTCACCCTGGTGGTGTTTGTATGTAATACGGGTATGGACAAATAGGGAGTTAAAGGGAAATTTCAGATTTGAAAGATTTTTTTTTTAATTATCATTGTTAGAACTACATACAGTCAACCTCATTACATTCAAAATTTAGGTTTACAATTATTTAAAAAACATTTTTTAATCATACTTTTTAGCCAGGCACTGGTGGCTCATAACTATAATCTAGCTTCTCAGGAGGCTGAGATCTGGGAATTATGGTTCAAAACCAGTCAGGGTGGTAAGATCGATGAGACTCTCCTCCAATTAACCACCAAAAGGCCAGAAGTAGAACTGTGGCTCAAGAGGTATAACACCTGTCTTGAGGGATAAAGCTCAAGGACAGTACCTAGACTGAGTTCAAACCCTAGTACTAGCAAATAAATATGTAAATAAATCACCATCTAAAAAGTAAATATTACAGGTACCAGTGGCTCACTGTGATCCTAACTACTCAAGAGGGTGAGATCTTGAGGATCGCAGCTCAGCCAGCTCAGGCAGGAAAGGTCAGGAGAGTCTTATCTCCAATAAACTACTCAGAAAAGCCCCGAAATGATGCTGTAGCTCAAGTGTTAGAGCATTAGCCTTGAGCACAAAGAGGCTCAGGGACAGTGCCCAGGTCCTAAGCTCAAGCCCCAGGACTGGTCACAAAAAAGAAAAAGAAAAGATGCTGATCTTGATCCTCTGAAGCCTTTAGTTGTAGAGTGTTACCTTCTTCCACCTGGTGCCAGCCTGTAGGATTGCAACCCCAAAGGCTCCAGCTTGGCATCCAGCACCAGCCAGAACTTGGCACACAGGTCCTGCCCTGTCTTCTCTTCCTGAGTAGGAGCTGAGAATTGGGAATTTCCTTTCAATTGCACCGCTGTGCCAGGCAGGCAGAATGACAGAGGTCCTAGTTCCTGTGCTGGCTGAGAACTGTAGCTTTGTAAGTGGTCTCTAGAATTCTCACAAAAATATTTGGAGGACAGTGGTCCAGAGGTCCTAGTCTGCCTCTTGGCTGCAGGATTATGAGGTGCCTCACGTGGCACCATGTAAAGCACCCACCTGTGCACAAGGCATGCTACCCCATTACACAGGAGGTCCCATGTAGGAAGAGGGCAGACCCAGGTGTGGTCTATTGAAATAATTGATCCTGGGAGCTTTTGCAGTGGCCATTTCTGGACAGTCTGGTGCAGAGCTTTGCGTGTGTTTCAGACATGGACCCTGCTTCTGTGTGGTGACTTTGATCTCACTAACGTGCTTTCTTTGCTCTGGGGACACAAGGCCACCTGTCCTGATGGCTGTGGGGACGGTAAACCAGTTGGCACAGCAGTGTGACCAACCAGCAGTGCCTAATGTAAGTACCAATCTTTGGAAAATACATTCTGGTTTTGCAGGTTTTCCTCAAACTACCATATCCTAAGCATAGGCCCCTGGCATGAAGAGGGCATTACCTTTTTTATAGCCTTCTGTGTCACAGCCCTTAATACCTGTTTAGTCTGGCTGCAAGCTGAAAAGGGCCAGATAACCAGGAATGCCTTTGCTAGCTCCACTATGTGTTTTTGGTAGTGTAAGGTAAACATTGCTGCCTAGCTAGACACGGTTGGCTCACGCCTGTAATTCTAGCTACTCAGGAGGCTGAGATCTGAGGATGGCGGTTCAAAGCCAGCCTGGAAAGGAAAGTCCATGGGACTCTTATCTCCAATAAACTCAGAAAAAGCTGGAAGTGGTACTGTGGCTCAAGTGGTAGAGCACTAGTCTTGAGCACAGAGAGGCTCAGGGACAGAGCCCAGGCCCTGAGTTCAAGCACCAGAATCAGCAAAATAAATAAATAAAGTTAGCCGGGCGCTGGTGGCTCACGCCTGTAATCCTAGCTACTCAGGAGGCTGAGATCTGAGGATCTCGGTTCAAAGCCAGCCCGGGCAGGAGAGACCGTGAGACTCCTATCTCCAATAAACCACCAGAAAACCG